GATCTGTATAAAGACCACTATTAAAAAATAAAAAAAAAAGTAACACCGCCGATGTTTAAAAGTCCTATGTTATGTCAGAACCACTGATAAATGAAGCCTCCCAACAAAAGAATCTTCTAACTCACATATAAACTTAACTCAGCTTATAAGAATGTTGTAAACAAAATACATCAACCATCTGATTTCAAAACCACTAATGTTATGTATACGGCTTTAATCATTTAACACCATCAGTTTTCCATTTCCTGAAGTTTATTCTCCAGCTCTTCTTCAGCAGACGTAAGTAACAATTGTTTCTCTTTCACAAACGACACCAGAGTATTAGATTTGAAAATAAAACATTTGTCCCGTGTTCTAAACTTTTTCTACATACTCATTGGCTGATTACAGTAATGCTACTAAAGTTCTCTATTCTTCTTCATTTCTGCTTCAGAGCATTCACAGGATTGTATATTATCTTAGTACAACTGCCACGTGATAAATGAAACAGAGCTTATTTCTTCTTAGTCAAAAACTTGAATCCAGATCCCCAAAAGAACAGCTATTTGCATACAATTAATAACAAATACCCACACACAAATTACTCTTAACTGAAGCCATAATGGAAACCTTGAGAATTCTCATTAAAAGGAAATTTTCATATTCTAAGCTCTTAAGTACTTGTAAGAGGAAACTAAAAAAATTCAGTCATGATTATTCGTAAGCTATAATATTGATATAGAAAATAAAAAACTTGATAAAAAATTTTACCATTTATTTTAAAAAAGGATAGATGACTTGTTAGTACAGAGCAGTCTGATTTAATGTCTGTAAAGAAGTTAACGCAAGTGGTAAAATCTTTTCATGACACGTTAGTAAATATTCCCAACTTACCTTACATTAAAATGATAGTTGGTAATCTTTCTTGGCCATTTTCATTGATTCAGCAATTTTATATTTTAAATTGTAATGTTATTTTGATAGTAAACATTTTAGTTACTCACCAGTGGATAAAAGACATTACAATCATAAACAATATCACGAAATATTTTAAATTGAAATTCTTACTTATAAACATTCACTGGAAAATGAAAGTTACCTTATTAAAGCGTGCTAGTTCATTCACTAGACACATGGGAGTCTTCTCTTTGGTGTTTGCCATGGTTTCGGTGGGCTGAGAGCTGCCACCACCAGCAGGGGGCGCTGTGCTGATGGGGACAGGACCTGTAGAGCTGATAGTATTGGTAGGCTTGTTTGGAGTCAAATTATTCAAATTTGGGTTTACAGAACGCAAGCCTGACCCTTGGATAGTGAGAGGGGTATCACCCATGGGACCCACTAATGGGTTAACATGAGTGATCACATGTCCAGAAATTGACAATGTATTTGAGTCAGACCCTCCTATGATACTATGGTGAACAGTCACACCTGGCATCATGCCACTGCCTGGAAAAAAAATGAGAAGTTGAAATAATTTTCTTAGATATCATTTAAAACAACATTATGAAATGAAATCTTATTCGAAAGTTTATATGAACTTTCAGAGGTTAATACAAGATGTCAAAGAGGTCAACTACTAAATCCTAATTCTTAAACAAGTAAATAAAAAAATCCTATTATAATGAACTTTTAATGATCAGTAATAAAGAATAACATTACAACACAGTGTAAAAACAATTATTTGCAATATATCACAGAAATATGAATTCAATACTATATATATATACTCAAAATTTTTTTTTAAAAAACTTCAATTGTACTCAAATCAGAAATGACATAAAAGTGGGGTATTGTCATAAAATCAAGTATTTATCTTTAGTTTTTCAAATTACATATTAAAAACAGAAATAAGTTAGTTGTATTTAGCCCAGAAAAAATCAAAATATTATAGATTATAAAGTATGGCCAAAGAAGGAGATGGTGGGTGAGGATCCAGTTACATTAAAAAGTTACAAAGGCATACAATTAATTTTTAGGTTACATACATTTTGCAACACATTAATTTATCTTAATTTTTCTCCCGATTTAAATCATTAAGAATCACTTTTAAAAAAGTGTACTATTCAACTTACAATAACTATTATTAAAACAAAGTCTAGGGGTTTATAAAATTATATTCTATCTATCTGTTTATTTATAGTTGAGTAATAAAATGACCTTTCATACATGAACAAACACACTATAATGGAATGTCGGCATCTTCAGTTTAACACTTCTGAAATCTTAAACTTTGTTAATACATAATGCAAGCTTTAATTTACTCACCTGTTGATTTAGGAATACTCTGAGGTTTAATAAGAGAAGTAACACTGGTGGGATTCATTTAATTGTGCTTTCTGAAATAAAATATGGTACAACATTTTAAAAAAATGTCAATTACTTGTTCCAAGTTTTTTGACATTCAAATTATTTTATTGAACAAAACAAGAAACAAACTTAGATCAGCACATATTTAACAGTGTACAAAACAAAGCATAAAATTGTTTGCCTTTTCTCACTGAAATTAATTTTCACAAGTCATTTGGAAAAGATCTCAAAAGTTAATTACTGATTCTTGGTGTCACTTCAGAAAAGGGTCTTTCTGCTTTTTTATGGGTGGCGTAAAGAAATAATTAAATAAGTTAACTAATTATTAATTTGATGAATTGCTTTAAATTTACAGTTTCACCAAACAAGTTGGAGAATGTAAAACACCCCCTTCTCCAGCGTTGGCAACTTGTATGTAAAACAGTAATATAAACGAAACAGATAGAAGGCTGACTTATAAAGAGTAAGTACAAAGTCAGGTAGAGCTGGGTAATCAGTAAAGTCTGCTAATCAATTAATAGTAATGCTCATTAATCAATTACATTCAACTAATTGATTATTGTCACATGGAACTTATCTTCTTATTTCCAGCTTGTTATTTCTTCAAAGACATTTTCAACCTACTCTTCATTGAAGTTGCTCAACATTTTTAGGCACAACAATTTAGGATTAAGTTACTTTTCTATTTTAAACCGTTGTACATAAAAATGTATCATATACAGAGGATAATAAGAAAACCTGTAACAAGCTGAAAACATGATCGATACCAGTCATTGGGTTTCTCTCTTCAAATGTTTACACGACGAAGTAAACTAAGTTTGCAAAAGAGTAATTGTTCTTAGATTTCATGTGATAAAACTAATAAAGATTCTTGTTACAATGTGTGTTAGACAATATATACATATATATTTAGTGAAAAGAAATTCATTCCGATCTTAGAAAAACAACAACAGTATAACATTTATATTTGGCAAGAAAACTTGATACTAGTTGAGTTCTTTAAGTAGATCAAAATTATTCATAATGTGGAAATAAAAGTTTTATAAGTTGGGACAGTTAAAAAATTTCTACTACACAAAAAAGGTTTTTCTTTTCTTATGATCTCCACATACGCATTAAACACAATTTGAAACTAAAATATTGTACAATAGATATGAACTTCCAACACTATACTATACCAAATGCTGAACAAACTTGAATTAAAAAATAATGAGAAATCACAACGGTGATATTTTGATTACTTGGATAGTTGGAGGAATTGGAAACAGTAACAAGAGTACCATATTTTTCGGTGTATAAGACGCACTTTTTTACCCCAAAATTTGATGTCAAAATCTGCTTGCGTTCTATACACCGAAGGTATGAATAATATATACATATATATATACGATATACACAAGCCATGTGTAAATATATTTAAATTGGCATGCATAGTTTAGTTCAATTGAAATGTGTTATTTATAACAATAGTAGTTTTTGTTTTT